GAGAACGAGGGGAGAAAGGGAGAGCGATCGTTTCGTCTATTCCTTCTGTTGTCCTTGTTTTCTGGCGCTTTTCGAATCTAGGGAGAAAGGGAGAGCGCTGGGAACGTTAGAGAGGAGTCTAGGTTTCTCTCCTTCCCAGCCTTCCTAGTCCTTGGGCTTTTTCCCCTCGTCTGGCTTTGCCTTCGTCTGTACTTCACGTAACTATCGTTTGTTACAATACAAGAGGGTAAGGCGAGGGAAAGGAAGGCCGAGGAGGGGGAAGCAGACGACATGCTGAAAAGGTGAGGAGGAAGTTTCCCCCTCTCCTCTCTAGCATTCCATCTGCTTTCCTTTGCAGATTCCGTCTGTTTCCTCCTGCACGGCCTTCCTTCCCCTCGCCCTATCTTCTTGAGCTGTTACTTACTATATTGAAACAGAGTATAGAGAACATGTTGCTTTTTGAAACAATCAAGTCTCGTGAAATGTTGATAAGACCCAGTTGGTATGTTTATTTTTCATGATTTGTGGAATTGAACGATTTCACCTTGTGTTCGGTGCATGAGTGAAGCCGCAATAACTTTGGTTCACAAGAGGCAGGCGGCAGTGCTTGAGACACCACGTGCCGTCTCGTCCTTTGCACGCGCAGAGCTCCAGAGAGGTTGGGGCACGTGCTGATAGACGAAAGTTTCCTCTATGCATTGCGGTAGCGGTGGCTTCGCCAAACTTGCCTGTAAAATCGGTCTATTACAAGTAAAAAAAAAAAATTGAAATTATTTGTATAAGTTAGGTAATTTCTTGTTCAATATCTTCCAACTATAATTGTTAGGTGTACATCCTTTAAAGGGATGCTGAAGCGAAATTTTCATTTCAGAAAACAACGCAGAAGCGCTAGGCGGGACGTTACAAAGCCGAAAGCATCACCCATAAAGTGATATCTCTAACGTGTGGTCGTATATTTGTGAAAAAAGAGCTTGCTTGAACATTAGCCAAAAAGGCCCCTGACCGTCGCCGATTCTCGATTCCTCGTCTTCTCGCATTGACTCCGCGAGGACGCGAAAAGGGAAGGAAGCAAGGCCGTTTCCCCTCCTCCTCAACTGTTCTGCAGGAAACGCGACGTTGCGATTCTCACTCAATTGCATCCTTATTTTACAATAATACGGCCAGTCTGTTCAAGATATCGCTTTGTGAGTGGTGTTTTGGGGTTTGTTGCGGCTACCTTATTTTGTGAAATCCGAATTTCCGTTCAGCAACGCTTTAAGGCCTGTTGGTGAAGCCTTTAAAGTTACCGCATATGTTGGTTTGGGGATGCATCACGCTACGCTTTACGACGGAGGTCCCCGAAGGTAGTGGAATCACTGCATTAAAAGTTCAAAGAACAAACTTACCCGAGTAAAACGTAAAAAAATTATAACTATTTTTTCCCACCTACGGCGCCCGTCTGCTAACTGTGCACCCTCTGACCGGCTTGATAACCGGCAGATGGCGACATCTGCTCCCGCAGCTCGTCGCTGCTCAGCAGCCGCCCGGTAGCACCAAGAGCATACAAACTTTTTGAGTCATAAACGGTGCACACTTTTTTATTTTATTTTCACTTTCAATAAAACAGATTAAATGGACACAAAACTAATCAAACCGATGGTTCGTCGAATAATTTCAGCTACATGTGGTGTGCTTGTGGCGTGACCGGGGAGCTACTGAGCTGCCATAAGGCGTCTGTGCCGTTGCCGCCATCTGTCTGTTGTTGTGCCAGTCGGAGGATGCGCATATAGCACACAGGTGCCATAGGTAAACAAAACCAGTTTTTTCTTTACTCTTTACTCGGGATAAGTTCATTCTTTGAAATTTTTTCTACGATGCTTTCACTACCTTCAGGCACCTCTGTGGTAAATCGTAGCGCGATACATTGTGAAGCCAATTTATGAGGTGATTTGAAAAACTTTACCCGCATTGGGGACCTTACGATAGACTAGTACAATTAGTAAGTGCTGGGTATAGTGTTGATTTTGCTCTTTGGTAATGATCTGGCACTGATACACTGCTGTATCGGTGCTAAGTTAAGTTCAAGTCAGCACTGTTTTACTTTTGATTTAGCTCTTTGCCGTATATGTGAATTATCCTTTATAGTCATTTCTCAAAAAGTTCATAACTTTTGCATGTATGCAGTGCATTCGATTATGATAATTGAAGCGTTTTTGCTTCTTCCGCCTAGTGATTGTGCGAGAGTGAAGAAAAATATAGTTTGTAGGATCAAATTTCTAGAAATTTATATTAATTTCAATTTCTTAAGCTTGCATGGAGCAATACAGGTATACTACAGTTTTTGCTATGGGTTTGGTCTGACTTTTCAAAAGCTTGTATTACGCTGTCAATTTTTCAGGCTTTGAATTTTTTTATTACATGCTTGGCGACATTTTTGCGGGACTGTCACTTACTCCTAAAGTTACTGAGACCATGAAACGATAGAAAATGAAACTAGCACAAAAGGGTAGATAGTTATAAACATGTTTGGTGTGAACTGTTGAAAGTAAGGGTGTACTTTGTTTTCTTTTTAAGGGGTTCCTGCAACAAAATTTTAGCAGTAATTTTATTGCGTAAATGTCAACCATGTTCGGCCGACACCAAAAAATACCATTTTGTTTTGCTCAAAAAGACGCCGAAACATTGTTTAAATAAACCAAATACTGTCACATCACACTGCATAAAAGCAGCACTGTTACACGAAAACATGGTGGCAGGCTGCGTGCGCCCGAGCCCTGCCTAACTTGGCTGTACCGGATTTCTTTTTTCTCCCGTGCCTATTCAACACCTGCGGAGGAAAACAACGACGACGAGGCGATGTGAAACATGTAGCCCATGTCAAGTTCCCGATTCAAGGTCGAATATTCCCCATTCGAACCCGCGGAATCTACAGGAAAGCAGCAGGGAGGTGAGTGGAGATCATCGACAACCTAGAAACTGAAACTTCCAACCGAGCGATCACTTTCGAGTGAGCAATCAGCCCTCGATCACTGGCCACACCGGCCCACCAAGCTAAGTCTGTCAGCTGCACAGCTGTGCAGCGAGGCCTAACGCCAACGGAGCTTCACCCGGGACGGCCCAGGGCGTCCCCCGCACACCTCTAACAGTCGGCACCGCCGATAGCGCTCACCTATTCATCATGGACGTGCAGGGTTCATCAACTTCTCGAACAACGGAGTGGAAACTCGCCACTCCGGCACCAAGACAGATCAAGGCGACTAAGATTGTGCTGAAGCTGACGAACAACGAGCACCTCGCCTCGATAGGCCTTGCCGCACTAACCAACGCCCTCAAAATGGCGGCAGCCCTCACCAAACAAGAGTGTGCAGACATCTACTTCAAACTCCGACCGCCGCAGAATCTCCTCATCGTGGGCCGTTACAGAGCCACGGCAGTACAAAAAATCATGACAACGCAACAAATTGAAGCACGGGGCACTACACACTCCATCTGCGCATACGTCGCGAACGCGGCAGAAAACGCGAAATGAGTGATTCACGGCATCCCACTGGACGCAACTGACGACTTCATCAAGGAGAACCCCAGAGAGCAGAACCGAACGGTCTTGGGATTGAGACGACTCGGTACGACGAAACCATTCTCATCACCATGGAGGGCCCGTCACTTCCAAGGCACGCCATATACGACTCGGGAGTGTACCGCATGTACCCACCGCGACAGCGGAATAGGCAGTGTGCGCACTGCCTCAGTCTCCAACATAACTCAGACGTATGTCCGTGTAAAAACGAGTACATATGCTGCACAGCATGCGGAAAACAATTCCCGCCACAAAATCCAAGCGAGACGCCGCACGATAGCGAGCTGCGATGCACCAACTGCAAAGGTGATCACGCCGCCACGGACCCGCAATGCTCAGCCAAGCACGGGGTAGCGGAAGCTATAAAGGAACGCTTCGAAGCACGTCAAGCACGTCAAGCAAGAGCCCAACAACTGAACACGAACACGAAACAAACCCGAATCAGAACCCGCAGGAATAGCCGGACCTCCCAATAAGCAACAGATTCGAGCTACTAGATACCCCATCGCGCAGCGTCAGTAGAGGCAGGAGCCGCAACCGAAGCTACAGCAGGGGAAGGGGATCCAACACTGCCAAGCAAAATATAAACGTCGACAAACGAGCCAGAAGCCGCTGTAGGGCAAATCAAAGAAAACCACAACAGCTACAACACGACAAACAAAAACGGACCAGGTTCCAAGGACCCTCACACAACCCGTGGCACCAAAAACAGGCATCCAGAGCACACGGCCAAGGAGGACAAACAACAGGAGCCCACCAGGAAAATAACAGTAGCAGCTACCCACGGGTGATCCCGAACGTGCAGGAAGTGGCACAACCATGCAGAACCAGTTGAGTGGCACGGCCTCACAACCCTCTCCCTTCTCACTAACGGTTCTAAAACCCGCCACAATGCAAGCACTAAGCCCATGGCCCTCGGAAGAATACCAGAAAACCAATACAAATGAGTACACCGAACTACGCCGATAGATATCCCCTATGATAGCGAAGTCCATACCCACCATCTTAACCGCACTTGCCCCGATGCTCCAAAAAATGATCCAACAGGCACTAGCCCCAATACAAGCAGAACTAGCGGCCCACCAGCAGCAACTCAGACCACACAAGCGCGCCGCTTTGCCCGCACCCGTGAACGCGAACAGTGAACAACATGACAATGAATAACACAAACGCGGAACAACAATGCAACCCGCCACACAGCAGCGCACCAACGACGTAGCAAGCAAAAACAACCTCAAGAGACAAAAACGACGAAATATTCATATGGCAATGGAATTGCAGAGCGGTCCGACGAAAGAAGAGCCACCTCTTGCAACACATGCAAATAATTGGAACACAACCGGACATAATAGTCCCGCAGAAAACAAACGGAGCTCACGCTATACAGGGGTACGACATGTACACGCAATCGAGTATTCAACACAATCAACGGGTTACCGGGCAGAAAGTGATGATAACCCCTACTATGGTAGCCACGTACATCAGGAGACGAGATGCCAATCTTCCCTCTATACAGAATGATACAACGGCAATCAACACACCCACAATGGAGCATGTGGCAACCAGCACACTTCTGGGAGACCACAGGCTCGACACAATCAACAGTTACTTGCTACCTAAGCAACCTACTGCACCCGTCCCACCCTTGGACATGAAACTAGGACCCAACCGGGATAGGGACATGGTGGTAACGCTAGGAGATTTCAATTGTCAACACCCATCTTGGGGATATGCGGTCACGTCGCCACTAGGTAGAAAGTTACAGAACTTCTCAGTCAATCATGGTATGACCCACCTAAATGACACGACGCAGCCAACGCCCACTGGTGGGCCACTCCAAACGGACACCTCTCCGGACTTAACGTGGATTCAGGGCCCACTCAGGGCGACGTGGGAAAACACAGGAGACGCGCTTGGTAGCGATCACCAAATAATAGAAATAAAAATCACTCCAAAGAAAAGGGGACGGAAAGAACGTCTCAGAACGACGAAGCTGGCGGCATGGCACAAGGACAGAGAGGAACACCAAGGTGTGGATTGGAAGCACCTCGGATGCAAAGATTTGAACGAAGCGATCCAAGAGACGGTTAACCGTCACACCAAACACATCACGAACACAGAAGACCACCCAACGGTCGATCAATACCTAATGACTTTATGGACTAAGCGACGAAACCTCACAAAACGCCTCCAAAAGAGAGAGAGCAACAGAACCTTCAAGGCGAGAGTACTGGCCTTAACTCAGGAGAGCCAGGAATACGCGGAGAAATTGGCCAGCCAAAACTGGATGCAACTCTGCGGTGAAGTGAACGGTCAGTTACACACGGTCAGAGCCTGGCACATATTCCGCGCGATCATGGGGCACCGTAAACCGAGGAGCACGCTCAAGAAACTCATGCTGAGTACAGGAGCCACCGTGAAGGACCTCATTGAAGAAATCAGGGGCACATTCTACCCAGACGAAACGCAGACAATGGCACAGCCAATACCAACGGCAGAAACCCGCTTAGATCGAGAAGTCCAAACCGCACTGAAAAGCGAGGAGATCAAAGGGATAGACTCGGACTTCACCGATGCAGAACTTCAAACGGTCTTATTCCAGCTGAAGCGCAACACGGCGCCGGGGCCGGACAAAATAGCATACGTAATGCTCAAAAACATCCCTGACAACAAGCTCGACGACCTCCTACAACACATCAACGAGACGTGGGCGACGGGAGAGTTGCAAGAAGAATGGAAAAAAGCGCACGTAATCATGCTTCCCAAACCAGGCAAACTTCCCAACACACCAGCAAACCTTCGACCCATATCCAAGACGTCCTGCATGGGGAAACTAACGGAAAAGATGGCATTAAACAGGCTAGAATGGGACTTGGAAGCCACGAATCAGCTGGCGCACGCCCTATTGAGGTTCCGAAAGCACGTCAGTACGCAAGGCATAGCAAAAATGATCAAAGAACAGGTGTACGACAGTCCCAGCACGGTTTAACAGCGCACCATAGTTGCGGTGGACCTAAAAAGAGCATTCGATAACGTCACGCACGTTGCTATCCTCAGAAACCTTCGCGAAACGAACCCTGGATATAGAATGAACAGAAACGTTAAGAACTTCCTCAAGGACAGAACAGTGAGACTACTGGACCCTGAGGGTCAACCCTCTCAACCGTATTCCCTATGTAGAGGAACACCACAGGGCTCCATACTATCGCCGATGCTCTTTAAGATAACAATTAAGAACCTCCCGACTAAAATCAATGCCGTCCCAAATCTCCACCACGCTATATACGGGGATGACTTTTCCATCTGGTGTACGACAGCTCCGACCCGGAACAACAAGAAAAAAACATACAAACGGGGCTAAACATCATGCACGAACACGCAAACTCCATAGGGCTCCAGTGCTCACCAGACAAATCGGAATATGTCATAGTCATAAACCACCCACAACAGGAAATGGCAGAGGAACAGCGTAAACTTATGAACCTCCACATAGGAGGCACGTTAACACCCCGTCGGCCAGCCATAAAAAGACTAGGTTTTATCTGGCAACAGGACGGCAAAAGCACGGAGTGGACCGCAAAGACGGTAAAACAGCTCAATCAGATCTAAAACATGATAGCACGTATCACGCGCTACAATCGCGGAATGAAAGAGCACGAACTCAGGAAAATAGGTGAAGCGACGGCGTACTCTAGAGTCATGTACTCTTATCCATACACACAACTAACCCAAACGCAAGAGGAAGATTAAAGCAGGGCTGCGGAAATGTCATCGTCTAGAACAAGGAACGCCCAAGTACGTAGCAAATGCGCTAGTGAACTCCACAGTTATCCACAACACCCTTGAGGAAAGTATCCGAAGTGCAACAAAAGGCGCAGAGACACAGGTTGAACGCATCCCAACTAGGGCGGAAAATCTTGAGCAGTCTTGGACATTCAACTGAGCGACACCCAGAGATCCCCACCCCGCCACCACCGTGGGAGTCCATCCTACATCTAACAGTACGCCCGATCGCCAAACATATGCACCCAGAAGTAGACTCAGAAAAAAGAAAGAGCGGAGCGACGCATCTAAAAGACCCTGGCCATGATATCTACTACACGGACGCAAGCTTCACAAACAGCAATGCCACCACCGCATCGGTGGGTCCCAAAGGCCACGTCGTCAGGCGTCATTCCAACGTCCCTTCGGTGATAGCAGCCGAAATACAGGCGATCGCTGAAGCCGTAACCCTGCACTCACACACAACGAATGAGCTCACGATTAGAATGAACAGCCAGGACGCGCTCTGGGCGTACGCTAAAAACGACTTACCTGAACACATATTAGGACTCCTCACCCAATACATGACCAATCACGCCCACCTGCGCATTTACCTCGAGTGGGTACCAGGCCACCAGGCAATCGAAGGGAACAAAAGGGCGCACGCCCTGTCTCGAGATAACGCAGAACCGAGCGTACCGATCGGTTGGCCGCAGGCCTACGACCCAAGAGAATATAAAGCGGAGCAGAGAAAAAAAACGAAGGACCTTGCTCAAGGAGATGAGAGAGGAGCAACGCAAATTCCCCACTCCACTACACAGTACATCGCGCACACAAGCCACGTTCATACTCAAACACAAACAAACTCACTCCCATGTGATATGACGCTACACTACATACACAACCTCAGAGGACTGTCCAGATGTCAAGTCTGCGGAGCGCATCTTCCCGATAAGACGCATACATACTGGGAGTCCCGAGGGCACAGAACTCGCCATACTTTCTTGAAGAAACTCAGCTACCACTGCTCATCCCCACACGTGGGAGAGCTGGGCAGCACCGCCACAGGACCTGCAAGCTACCTTACGGCAACAACTGCAGAACCATGTCAAACATGTCCTCGGATTAACAACATGCAACAACAACGAACATGCAAGCTAGGAAGGACACCTCTCGTACCCCGACTACAAACACCATGTGGAATTGGTAAAACCAAAAAACGCGGCTCGGACATTGAGCTGCTGTAAATAAAGTATGTTCCTTACTTCCTGCGGAGAGCGGGGAGGGACAACTCGAACGGCTAGCTTGTAATGCATTGACGCCATTAAGTGGCGAAGCCCAGCCACGCAGCCCCCATATAGCCTTGACTGAAGGAGAACCAGACGTCACGAACGCGTAAGCACACAACCACGCCAGCCCCCCTGTAGCCTTGACTGAAGAAGAACCAGACGTCACAAACGCGATGCGTATCGGGAGATCTTCTGAGACATTAGTTTTATATAATGTTTTCGTATCTTTTTGAGCAAACAATAGACCGATCTCACCAGCTAGTTTGAGTACGCCACCATGCCGATATGCATCGTGGGAGCTGTAGTTTTTCTGCACGCGCGACAACCCTGCTGGAGGTCTGCGCGAGCAGAGCCCGAGGCGGCATGAGCTGTCGCGGGAACTGGCGTCTGCCTTCGCGAACTACAGTTATGGTGGCGTCACGCATCCGTCGAACACTTGGTGAGATCGGTCTATTGGTGTCTCCATGGTATGGTCAGAACGTGGTTGACATTTCAACAATAAAATAGGTTCTACAATTTCATTGGAGTATCACTTTAAAACCATTCTACTCTTTTACCATATTTTCAATATCAGTAGTATTGGTATTGCTTTAAAGAAACTTTCTTCAATTCACTTTTTGAGAAAATTCCACTCCCCACCTGGTTTGCAGGGTTCATACGATGACGTCGGAAACCTCTGCTTTGTTGATGGTCAGCACATTTTAACTTAAACGCGTGTGCTTTTTTGGTTACAGGTCCCCTCCAGCACTACGCAGGGCAGAGAATGGCAACAGCAAACTGATTGGAGGAAGAGTAATTGCATCTGCCGCTACCACAGATAACGAACAAGCTGCGACGTCTAAGAAAGAGCAGTCAGAATGTCTAACATAATTAAGTGAGGTGAAAAATCTGACTCTTATATTATGTCTGATAAAATTCTGAAAATTTAGAGATGATTTATTTTACTATTTTAGGACTGATTAAAAAAACTTTGAACAGATGGCTCTGTCAGGGTGTCGTGTACCTCATTGCCGCCTATTGGATTTTTCACATCCAATATGCGAAGAAGGCACATACGATGCCGTCTTTCACTGAGCTTGGTTTTGGGAACCGTGCGATCGTGGTTTCTTTACCACAGTTAGCCTAGCGTACCCTACACTATAATAAATACTCCTGTCAGACGGGCATTTAAATGGTCTTCAGAATGAACTCCTTCAAAGAATCAGCTCACGATCTCTACTCTGCCTGTGCCCTTCAGTGTTCGCTTGTCCGCAGATATTTTTAAGTAATTTCCTCTGAAGGCCATTTGAATGACAGTCTGACGGTGTATAAGCTAGTTTGCGCCCAAGGCAACATGAGCTCTTGCCACACGACGTGTGCCAGAAACGTAGATGATCTCTGGAATAAACTTATTTCGTGCATGCTGCCACCTCCTTCTGCCTTTCCTTTCACACTTCCCCACTTTGAAGAAATTTCTTAAAGATAGCACGAAAATACTCTCAGAAATCACCATTGAAACGGCTAGGTGGATGCAAAGGAATACTTTCAGGAGGATGTGAAAGAAGACTTCCGTGGGTCCACGTAATAACTCCCAAATGAATGTGAAAGATTACTCCCTTAGGTCCAGGCAGTAACTCTCAAATGGATGTGAGAGAATAGTCCCATAAGTGTACATAAAGACTCCCATATGTATGTGAAGGAATAGTTTCATAAATACGCGTAAAAACTACCACATGGATGTGAAAGAATAGTCCCATAAATGCACTCAGAAACTCCCACATGGATGCGAAAAAATATCCCATAAGTGCACGTAAAAAACTCCCATGTGGATATCAAAGAATAGTCCCATAAGTGCACGTAAAATCTCCCATATGGATGTAAATAAATATTCCAGCGAGTCCACGTAAACACTCCCATGACAATGTGAAATAATACTCCCATGGGTCCACCTAGGAACACTCTTATAGAAGTAAATAAATACTCCCATTGATCCGCGAACGGAATCCCGTACTCGTGCTAGTTCTGCGCTTACTCCTTTGCACCCCTCCCCCCCCCCCCCAAAAAAAAAAATTGGCATGCGTGGGAGTAAACTTTGATCCGACGGAGTATAAAAACTCGCAGATGGGAATGCGCTAGAGGACAAGCGATTTACTCCCCTCTGGGTATATTTTCGTAATAGAAGAACCCCCTTCTTTGTACGTGGCTCATAGGACCAACATGTATGTGACAGCTGCATAGTAGGCCTCATGTCCAAAAACTGTAGTGCTCCTCCCGTGGGTGTCTGGAACTTAAAGGATAAACCGGGGGAGCACTTCGTAAAGCAGGCCAAGAAATCCGAAGGCACGCCTTGAGGGCTAAGGCTGTGGTTACCATTGTACAGCACTAGGTAGTCGTCCACATACCGAAACACTCTCAAAATCCGAAAACCCAAGGACCCTGCTATAGGCCTGTCACATCTCGCCAGATATGTATCACTGAGGACCGGTGCCACACTCGATCCGATACAGATCCCACTGTTTTGCAAGTAAATTTCACTTTCAAAGGTGACATAGGTCTATCTAATGTAAAAACTCAATAATTCCAAAAAGGAATCCACCGCAACACCCAGTCGAATTCATGAAGGCCACCAAACCACTTGCCTGTGTGCACTCTCCCACAGCTAGCATTAATTCACCATAAGGGATCGAAGAAAACATGTCCTCAACATCGAAGGACACAAACTCACAGCCTCCCGGATTTTCTTCTTTTTAGGAAATCCACTGGGGCCTCAGGATTGCAAATAGAAAAAGGGTCGTCCAACTTAAGCAGCGACAGGTGACACTGAAGAAAATTCGATACATGGAGCTGCCAAGAGTCTTTCCGGGTAACAATCACACTGAACGGTCTGAGCTCCTTATGGGTCTTTACCGAAACGATCCTCCCGAACTGAATGTTATAAACCTAAACGCGCGAAGTGTGGTAAATAAAGTTGACACTCTGGAATTTTTGTTAATTGCTTAGAGTCCTCACGTGGTGGCGATCACAGAAACATGGCTTTCTTCTGATATTGTGAGCGACTGCATTGTTCCCCCTAATTATAAATTAATAAGGCGTGATAGAACCACCAGAGGCGGAGGCATAGCAATTGCTTTGCGAAATGACATAAACTGTGTAGAACTTGAGTGCGAGTGTAATGAAACTGTCTGGTGCCGAATATTTTATTGCAATCGTGTGTTTCTTATAGGGGTAGTCTACAGGCCAGCAAACGCTCCAATTGACTTCTTAAAACGTCTGAATGATTTTCTCTGTAAACATGTAAAAAGTGACACCAAGGTAATTCTAACTGGAGACTTTAATTTACCGCATGTGGATTGGGATCTATTGGTAGCTGGTAGTATTGATATTCCCAACGGAGAAAAAATGCTCGAAATTATGTTTAATCACAATCTTACACAAATAGTCAAAGACTGCACTAGAATTACTGAGCAATCTCAATCACTATTGGACTTGGTCTTTATTTCAGACAGTATATCTGAGTACGAAGTTTCAGTTTATGAAGGTATTTCAGATCACAAAATGGTTGTGTTCTCAACCCCCTTA